TCATTTAAAGACATGTCTTCAAATCCTTTGCTAACTGTAGATTCAGATGAATAGCCCCAATAAAAATTAATTTTCGATTGCTCACTTGCCTTTACACGCTCATTATCGATAGTCGATATACATCGACAATCGAAGCTGCATTTTGTTGTACTCAAACGAGCTAAACAATTTGCAATTTGCAGCTTCATCAAGTGGATGACTCCATAAACGGTTAACAGTGCAGCAAAGTTGCCAGACTTTTCGAAATTTCAGCGTGTCTCGATTAGTGAGGGGCTTGGGCCAACAGAGCTGGTCAATGGGTAAACGGATAACTGACTGCAACTCGGTGGCAAAGACTTTGAACTCCTTGCCACTTGCCGCTTACCACTTACCACCAGCCACTTGCCACTTGCCACGCTTGCCACTTGCTCTCCTTGCACTCACTAGGCGACCCCACTCGACCCCTCTCGCTCACCCCCCTGGGCATTTCTTTGGAGTAAAAACTGCTTGTCTAACATGCATTCAAGTGCCTTAAAGTGCCCCATGCAAACTTTGAAATTGTTTTCGTTCAATTTGCAAGCCAAACAACTCAGCCATTAGGGGCATTCCCTCTTTCTTGCTGCAACATGTGAGTGGCCAACGGGGTATGAGACTCTTCAGCCTCGGCAAGCATATGGGCGGTGGGCGGTGGGCGATGGGGTGTGGGCCTAATGCTTCACATATAATTCAGCAATGTTTGCTTTAAAAAATGTGAATTTAATTACACACCCCAGCCGAATACCCTGTAAAACTTTGAACATACTCGAGTCATGAAAGTCTGAAAAACTCATTTCTCAACTCTCACATATAGCCTAGCTAGATACCCTGTAATTGAGAGCAATTCAAGTGTCAATATATCACTTATCTAACACGAATATAATAATAATAAATAATTTCATGGGGAAACAACTCTCACATATGAATTGCCTTATAAAGCTCAATGGCTCAGTTTGACTTAGCGAGTGATTACCGTACATTATGAATACATTTAAATATTTTGATAAAATAT